ACCAGCACCAGCACCAGCACCAGCACCAGCACCAGCACCAGCACCAGTACTAGCACCAGCACCAGTACTAGCACCAGCACCAGCACTAGCACGAGGACCAGCACCAGTAGCATTAGCACTGCAGGTAAAATTCTTTTGTATCACTGTATATCTTGGTTCTCCAGCTTTTTTTTCCCACTAACAGTTCCGTGACGATTGCTAATACTCTTATGTACTTCTTCCTCTTATTCCATTACTGATATCTCCCTTATTCTCATAGCTTACGTACGCTTATTTAGCGAAGCGTGTTGGGGCAACAGATGCCAATTTCATTCGCCTATTCGCTGATCAACAGTACTTATGAAGGCGTAAAGGTGTGAACGTATGACGTACGATGAAGTGCGTGTGGATCGAGTATGATGTGTGCAGTTTATTTCCTCATCACTCGCACTCACATTGCTGATTCTCGATATTCATTAGCAGAGAGTATCGCCTTGGTCGGAAATCCATAGAGAGTACCAGTAGTAGTTGAGCTCTTTGCCGAATCTTGAGCCGATTATAGTTCACAAGGAAGTGAAACGGCAGCTATGACTACAATATTCGTGATTTGAATGAGATCTGTTACTTTCTTTGCATTCTCGTATAGTTTCTGGAAAGAGCAAGGGAGCTCCTTCAGATAGATGAGATAATCACGAATACCGACATGTACAGAATATTTCTTATTCGCTTTCTTGTGCGTAAAGCGAGCCTGTAGTAATACAAGGACGAAATGAACGATTGGACTAGTGGAAGATTTTGAACTCGAAGCAGTTCAACTTTGTCAGACGAAGTCAACGCTTTGGAAAGATTGTAGTAATGGTGGTCTTTTCGATTGAGCAGATCAGGAGTTTAGATGGAAAGATCGCATAGAATATGAGAAGAGCCACGTGGCATTATGGCGAGGAAAGGCATTACAATGGCGAGGAAGGGCAGAGCTAAAAACACTGTTCACCAAATGCTTTTCTCTTCTTCTACCTTCATCAGTCCTGTGATGCACGAAACATATGACGAGCAAATGAAGGAGATAAATATACATCTTCACTCTCCATACCATTGTGAATGTAGAACGTGTTTCGCGTACACACAATAGAGGACCAGAATAAAATAAGTTGTTAAATATCTGCAAGTATGATCTATACGCTTGTACAAGTATAGAATATTCAAAATAGGTTTGCGAGTTGTCATAAGTATGCTAATTTCATATGCAATAACATAAAAAATGTGTGATTCACGGCTTTTGCTTGCTCGCGGATAATCCGGGTGAATTCGATTTTAAACAAAACGTGCGGACCTCGAGTGGATAGAGAGCTTCTACGGGGTGCAATGAAAGATCCTAAAATATTATTGATAAATGTCATTTGTCAAAATATGCGATAAGAAATATATCGATTAGCTCACAATTGTCAGCTTATCATCTACAATCTCACTTGTTTTTGTGTTTCTTCCATTCGCCATCGCTTGTCATATTTCACTTCGATTATTTGTTTGTTACAAAAACCAAAAAATAACCGTTAATTCGATTCTTATAATTGACATTTAAGATTTAATTTTTTTCATAAACGATGATCGAGTTTCATGATTCATCATATAATGAATCCCCTGATACTATTTGGTCATCAAATGCCAGTTATTCGCCTTCAACTACTTGTCTAGTTCGCTAGGTCAATTCTAATCAGGCTTCTATCATATATAATTCTTAAAATATCAAGATCTTTTAAGGAACAATATACGATGATGAGAAATCGAATAATCAACCCTACGATACCTTCTTCATGTTGAAATCGATTTGATTTCGTTCCAATGAAATAAATCACAGAAAACACATTTCACGGGTTCACGGTAGAGGGACGAGGCATATAGCAGACTGAGAACATGAGTGGAAAGGGCGAGGCTAGAAGTATTCATCAAAAAGTCTTGTGAAGATCGGTGAGACGAGTTTGCGTAATCTTCGGAGTGAATCCTGTGAGGCATGAAAATCCGATGTCTCATGTGCTTCTAAATCCAATACATTCCTGGAGTCCTGGAATGTGCAGTTTTCCTTTCACTCAACTAGTACCGCAATTATGAAATTAACCCAAACATAGTCGTATGTACTAACATTATTTGTTTTCACTTGAGTCCTATATTATCATGTAGCCACCCAGAATTTTTCACCGCCGAAGTTCTCTTTTGGACGGAAACTCTATAACGTTAAGGTGCATATTAATCCACATATGTTTGTTGGTATCTCAAGATGGGTGACGGGAACCTCATCAATATGATTTTCACCAATAGATTGCAGGATATTTGTCAGTTGACGAATTTTCACTGTGCTTTCGCCAATAGACTCGAATAATTTCGCTACCTGAGAGTAGACTTAATGCAGAAAAAAGATTACTTATTAATTGGATTAGTCAGTGTAAACTAAACTTCTTAGAACTACAGGGCATGACTTTCTATCATGAGACATCATACAATTGGTCCAAAGATCACATTCTATTGTGGATTAGTTTTTCGCTAGGATTCACCTAGAATATCAAAGATTTTTGGAAAATTTTTCAAAACCATTGCCTCTTATTAAGACGTCTGAAATATTTCTCATGGTTAATCTTTAAATGTGAAGTGGCCTTTAATTCTGACTGCGAGTTTAGGTTATGCTGTTTAAAGAACGTTAAGTTCCGTGACATCTGTCGAAATATTAATACTGCTTCGTGATGGTTAGCGAAAATCCAGGGATCTATTGACCAAGTTCCAAAGTATTCTTAAGACTTGCATTGTAATCTGTAACGGAGACTTTTTTGCAGATGGTTCATGTAACGATCTAACATATACAGCAGATGCCTAATTTATTTGAATGTTCCTGTTTAGGATGGTCAACTACCGGCAGTTTGAATACGGCTCGATACCTGCACACAGCATCTGTATTGCCAAACGGAAAAGTCTTAATTGCTGGTGGAGATAATGGGGCCACTTTGAGTGGTGCAGAAGTGTACGATCCATCAACAGGACTTTGGACGAATACTGGAAGCATGAATAATGCACGAATCTGGCACACGGAATCCACATTGCTAAATGGGAAAGTATTAGTTGCTGGTGGATATGGCATGAGAAGTGCGGAACTGTACGATTCATCAACAGGACTTTGGACAAATACTGGAAGCATGAATACTTCACGATACGGACATACAGCATCCACATTGTCAAATGGGAAAGTTTTAGCTGCTGGTGGATATACGATAAGTAGTGCAGAACTGTACGATCCATCAACAGGACTTTGGACAAATACTGGAAGAATGAATACTGCACGATACGGACATACAGCATCCATATTGCCAAATGGAAAAGTTTTAGTTGCTGGTGGATATACGGAAACATCTTATTTGAATAGTGCAGAAGTGTACGATCCATCAACAGAACTTTGGACATATACTGGCAATTTCAGCATTGCACGAGAGGGACACACTGCAACCATATTGTCAAATGGAAAAGTCTTAGTTGCTGGTGGAAACGATAAGGATGGTCGTACTTTGAGTAGCGCACAAGTGTACGATCCATTAAGAGGAATCTGGGAAAATACACGCAACATGAGTATTACACGATCATATCACACCGCATCCACATTGCCAAATGGAGCAGTTTTAATTGTTGGTAGAGCGTACAATGCAGAAATCTACGATCCATCAACTGGACTCTGGAAAAATACGAATAGTATGAGTACTCTACGATATAGTCACACAGCATCCACATTGGCAAATGGAGCAATCTTAGTTGTTGGTGGAAACTATGGCGGTTATGCCAAAAGTAGTGCAGAGTTATACGGATGACCATTAGTCTAATGAAATATCCTGCATTAGTCTGAAACTTAACATTTATTTTGCTTTCTCAAACTATTTACTCTTCAATGCTTTGATATAAGTATTTTCGATTACAATATATGTATGCAAAATTCGACATACTCTACGTAAAGTCAAATTGATTTGTGTTAGTGTGATTGTGGTAAAAACTAGGGATCTGCGGGAACAACTCTTTTTAGTTCCCCCCCCCCCGCCCCCCGTTTTCCCGTTCTCGAAGTGTTCACCAGAATTCCCATTCCCGCATTCTCATTCCTGAGGTCTCACGGGAATTCGCGTTTCCGATTCCCGCGGGAAACGAGACGGGAAAACACGGGAAAAAGTCGTTTCCGTAGGATCCTAGTAAAAACAGAAATTATTAAGATAGAATATTGTAGTGTATAGAAGACCACGGAAAGATGAGGGAAATTCCTACTGAGAAAAGAGAACCGATATTGTAAACCAGATTTCGACGATACTCGCATTAACTTGTACTAACTCGTTCAGAAAATTTTGCATGTTGTATCATATCAGTACTGGAAAGCTTTTGCGATGTATCGTTCCGCGGAAATACCTTTGTGTCACCAGAATTTTTCTTCGTGTTTCGAAGTTACAATCAATCCACTATTACATATATATATATATACGTAGCCAAAGCTGTCCATAGGAAACTACAATGAGTATCAATATATAAAATAGATGTCGTTGTTGATAAAAATTATCTTCTTTTTTCATCGCAAAATGCATGAAAAATTACTTTTGGAACATTGTTTTGCTTCGGTATTGGATTATTTGTATAAGTCTTGTAAAATGAAGACTTTTAATTTTAGGAAGCTGTCGTACGATGAAATTCTTTTGACACTCCAATAGCATTTTCTCTCCAAATAACATTTTGCTTCGAATGTTGGTCGAGGAAGCAAATAATAAACTTTCAAATGTTACCTAATTGCTTGGGGTGCTCTGTATATGTAGAATATTACCCAAAAAAACCTTTTTGAAGATAAACAGGGAGAAAAACGTTGATGACCAGAATATCGATGAAAGAAAATTACTAGAAGAATAGCCCACATGGTTTTTGGAATAATACAACTGTTCAAAATGTATGAGTATGAACTAGAACACTTCTTTCAAGACAATCATTAACAAATTTCTGATTTCAATTCGAATTAGGTTCAGCTGAGAAAATAATAACTCGTGTTGCTGACGAAGATCTGCTGTATTCTCTTACATGTGTAAATTGGATATGATGATATCATGGTCATAGAGGGATCAATCATAAGCAAGGAACTTCTAAAAGGTGCTACATGGAAATTTCGTGGAAAGATTATTACTATTGGTGATAGTTATATTTCTACATAAAAAAGGGGCTATTGTTATAAAGGTGTTTGTGTAAATAAATATCGACATGCTTACACTGTTGATGATCTGAATCATCGTACTGTGAAATTTACTCGAGACACAATTATTCTTCGAAGAATGGTTAGTAAGCATGTGCATGGGTATGATCATTAATATCTGCGTGAATTGTGAAACATGATTTACGACTAGAATTCAAAGAATTTTATTATTTCTCCTTAGCATAATTGAGGACTGCTATAGTGTATTCAAAAACATAGCACATGAGCTGATACTATCATTGGGGGCAGCGGATATTTTGGATTATCTATGGATGATGAAGGTTTTCTCTACGTTTCTGAATTTAAACAATGTCGATCAGGTGACAGTAATGGAATAATCGTAGAAGATGCCAATGGACATGGTTACCAAATTAACCAACTCAATCATATCACATACATTTTTACTGGATCAGACAAATCTGTGTACATGGTAGGAAATAATATTATTCGCGAAAGATACTGCTATAATTTCCAATAGAAGACATAATTAATTTTATATAAAACGAAAGGTCGTCGAAAATGGAATTTATAGGTACTAAATAGTGAAGTTTACGACCACCTCTAATGTCGAACTTGAGAAATTTTCAGAAATTGTATGCCTTCTTTTGAATGGAACACTAAGGTGCTGACAATTTAAAAACAAAGTGGAATGTTTTTCTTGGATATTTTTGCACCACTCGATACAGTTTGTTCAGATTTACAAAATTGTATGAATCAAAGAATTTTTAAGGCGATAGCTAGGATTGAGAACTTAAAAAATCTACTTGAAAAATTGTAAAAAAATATTAAAAAAAGCCTATTATTTTATATGGAAGAAAACCAATCGATTTTTCAGTAATATTAGGTTTTTTAATCACTTCTACTATATTTTGTCCAAACAGTTCATGCGTATAACTGTTTGTTGAACAAATGAAGGACAGAAACAGCTAGAGATCTGGGGTTTTCATCATTCGAATGAGGGTGATACGTAGAAGTATTTTTCACTCATATTGTGCAAGATGAATTCATTATAAAATCAATAATTTTGCTTAAAACATTGAAAAATACGTTTCACAACGATCTATTATTTCGATGAGGTTTTGGTTTTACTGTGATCTAAGTAGAGGGACTTCAGATCTTTAACGTAAGATATAGTCCAAATGATTATATTTACATCTCTAGTATTCAGCAAATATAATTCTATATTTACCCCTTCTCAAACGCACGAATTTCTCTTGAATTCGCTTACTTTTTGTGAAAAAATTCATCTTAACGACAGAATATTTTTGCATAGTTTTTCAATGTTTTGTAAAAACCATTGAATTTAAAATGTCTTCGTCTTATACAATATCGGAGAAAAAGACGTCCAAGCATCATCCTCCTTCGATTGATGAAAACCGCAGATCTCCAGCTCTTTCCATTCTAGAGCTATTCAACAAACAGTTACTCACACGAACTTTTTGGGCAGCCCATACCTTAGCCGTTTCAAAATACATCCATTTGATAAAAGGGTGTGGGTGTAAGATTGGTCTGCCGTCTTCACACACCCACATTGTCGGTGGTGTCAAATCATTTTGCATGAATTTGATGATATTCTCTTTGTTTTCCTGGCTTTTAAATATTGTCTGAGACTTTTTTCTTAGTTACTTTCTATTACGATATTTAGAAATCTTGAGATTCAACAATGGTCGTATTTTACTTTTAACCTCTGCTTTAAATTTTGATGCAGAGCCCTGGAGAGTGTTAAAATTCAAAATAAAGGACACGAATCGCGTCGGCATTTTGAAACTCTGCATTAATCTTCATTCAAAAGCACACTAATTATTCTTTGATTTATTGAATTTCGAGAAAAAAGATTGATTGCTGAGAAGCAAGAGTTGGCAATAACAGATTAATTTGTATTATAGAAATATAAGTCGATCTGTTTTTCGATTAATTTGCCCACATCCTCACCCTCAAGATAGTTTGAAAAGTAGAATGAGTTTAGTGTTTTGCGCTTTGAGACACATCAACCAAGTTCTAATCATAGTAGCCGACTTTCAGTAGAGGATCAGCGACATTTGCGTCGCGTTATCTTGTTTATTTTTTATTAAGAGGAAAGATAGTTGAGAATGTGAGAGAAGGGAGCTAGATAGACGATAATAACCGATTTCCTGCGTGGACTTGTGGTTGTGCCAATTGTCTATAAAGAAAAAAATAGTGAATTAATTCAGTATCTTGATGATTCTTCAAACGATAATCTCAAAAAAATGTGCGAATGAAGGAATAAAATATCAGTGACATTCTCATAATGAGTTATTATCGAAACAAAATATTGACAGAACATACCCGCCTTGAGGGTGTGGATGTGGACGCAGTGTCTTGCTTTGTTCGACCCACACCCATACCCAAAATACTAGTCTTGCTTTTCTCTCTCCAGTGACATATAAATCGATAGGACTAGTTCTGAAAAATCTCAATGGGCCGATTTGCTATCTTATGCGCCCCCGTCCTTTATTTCCAACATATTTATTGATCATTCATCGAGCGGTAGTGGAAATAGATCGTAATAGTTCATTGATTTCTACAGACTTCGTAGTGAATTTGATTGACTTTTCACTTAAAGTCATTCTCCGACAAGGAATACAACGAAAAATAATGTAGATTTCAGAAGAAAAACAAGTGTAAATACATTTTTTTTCTCTTTAGCAAGTAGAACGAATGACGTAGTAATGCGAGCAAGATAAAGAATAATGCTACATATGAAATTCTATGTCAAGTGATGAATGAGTCATCAAAAGGCAATTGCTGAATATCTTCCTAGAAAGTCAGAATTCTCTACAATATAAAAGCACTCAATAAAACCTAAAAGAAAATCACTGAGCAATTGAAATTAACGATGGCATTTTTTCAACGCAACCAATATGGTATCAAAGAAGAATCCCATGGTACCGTAACACCAGCTAATGATGTTGCTCGACTTATGTATTATTTTAATTGTGTGTGCTACGTCATTCAATACAATGATACTGATGTCAGTCGACTTCGAAATTGTAATAATTGGGCATCTTTATCATCTGAAGAGGTTCGTCTTCTATTTGTTCTTTGCGGAACTCTTTCACCTGATATTTTTGATGATAAAGTGTTTTTTCATTCGGATGCTTTATGTGGTAATAGTCCAAACAAATTTTTTGAAATAAGTCAAGTCAGCAATCAATTATTAGCTGTAGAATCAATTATCATTGCTGGTCGACGATACCGAGTTAACAAAATTATGACATATAAAATGTCTTGGATGTATGATAATTATATAAACCCAATGAAACGATTTGCACAAAAATTGAATACAAGAACTTCAAATTCATCATCATGTGTGATCTCATGAATAATGGTTTCAGAAATTTAACGAGATAATCAACAAATAAACATTCAAATATTCTTGAATACCATTTGATTATAATATTATAAATCCAAGTTACTTCAATAAATTTTTTATATTAAGAATTCTATTTCAACGGTCTAAAGATCAAAAGTAAAACCGAATACGAAATCTGTACAACAACCAAAATTTTAAGACAAAAGTTGAAAGAAATTTTGTACATCAAGTAAGATATCGATGGTTTTCCATGAATCTTATATATACATTCATATTTTGAAGCAATATTTACATGGAATTCATATTTTTCCTCTTAAACATGAAGGGTGTGGATGTGGGTGGATGTTCAAAAAAAAAAGAGATAGTCACACCCACACTCCACACCCTAAATCTTGAATAGTTGGTATCTTGGAGATATTTCATGGAAAAATTCTGAAATTTGGGTGTGGGTGTGTGGGTATGGGTGTGTGGGTGTGGGTGTGACAACAGAAGGCACTGCACACACACTTACGCACACACCCACCCCACACCAACACACACACTCCCAAATATGTATATTTATTCTTCGAGCGTCTATTCATGGTATCTGTCTTTTCAAAATTTTCTTTCTCTTGTAAAATGATTCATAGTTATGCAGAAGCACCGCAGGATATTTGAAGTAAACGAAAAGCTGCTCTTATGATTACCGATGATCGTTACGGTTCTATTATACCAAGTTTTCAATGCATGAAATACCTTATGGCGTCAATGAAAGACCCTACATATGTATATGAAGAGAAAGTGAAAGAAAAAAATTTCTTTTTATTTTACATCGGTATATATAGTGAATAGAATATCGCGTCGAAGTGGCAATCATATAATCAATACAAATACGTTTAAACGTTGATATTTTTTCGTTAGTTTGTTGAGAGCAATGAATATTCTTCCAACGATGGCTTTCTAGCTTTTAATTCTTGTTTTTTTGCAAAGAAACTGTGATGCACGAACAGCGGAACAACTCGCTCGATCTTTGACCAAACGGGGCTGTGCTGCTCTTGATGAGCCATGCAGGACGTCTACTGATTGTTGTGATCATGAAACTGACTTCTGTGTTGGTTGTTTTCAGCGTTTCGACTTTATTGCAATTGGCTTTGGTGATTATCGCTGTGGCTGTTTTGGCACTAGTAACCGTATTCCTGATTGACAGGAACTTGGACGTTGTGATGGCAAGGATCGTCGTACTTGTCGATGTCGTCGTCATTTTGACTTAAAGTCAAGATCTCACACTTGAATTTAACATTCTCCCTATTATGGCTACAAGAGACATTCTTTTCTTCTTTCTTTTTCTGCTTTTAAATTCTTTTATTACAATCAACATCCATAATTTTAAGGATTTGTCGGTTTTAGCCTATAATTTATTCTAAA